AAGGATGGGTTATTCGCTTCTCCATAGAGGCTTTCAACAGGGTAAGAGCGAAAAGCACCAAGGCACAAACGTAATCCCTGGTGATGGATGGGATTAAGGCTCAAGAGAGTAGTAGGAGCGGCCGCTGAATAGATTTGATCACCATAATCGAGCTTCGATAAAATGAGGGCTGAATGTAGGCGAAGGAGAGTTCGACGCTCAGCTCCCCATGAAAGATGAGCAAGGGTTTTAAGAAGGTTCAGCCAGTTGTGACAAGTTGCCTTCATAGAGGTAATGCGAGGTTTCCAGGATAACCTACGGTCAAAGAGAAGGCCTAGAAACCTGACTGTATCATGTTCAGGGATACGCGAGCCACAGAGGTACAAAGGATGATCGGAGATGACAGAGCGTCTAGTGAAAGTAATTTGGAGAGTTTTGGTACTGGAAAATTTAAACCCATGTGTGGTGGCCCAATTGGAAACACAGTCAACCGCATGCTGGAGAGAAACTGTAATGAGGTGATGGTCAGCGCCTGCACAAGCTATAGCGAAGTCATCAACATAGAGTGATGACCAAATACTGGATGGAAGACTAGAGGCTAAATCATTTATAGCAAGGAAAAAGTGTTGTGCTCAGAACACATCCCTGGGGGACACCCTGCTTGGACAAAGTCCGGGGAGAGCACATTATTAACCTGAACACGGAAATGTCTGTCAGTTAAAAAGTTCTTAAAGAAGGATGGTAGATTGCCTCAGAGGCCTAAGGAGTGGGTTTGGGCCAAAATATTATACCTCCAAGTTGTATCATATGCCTTCTCAAGGTCAAAAAATATGGCAATAACTGAGTGGTTATTTGCGAAGGCATTACGAACATACGTATCCAAGCGTAGTAAGGGGTCTATGGTAGAACGGCGCTTACAAAAGCCATATTGACTAGTGGAGAGACTGTTGTGTGTCTCTAAATACCACATTAACCATTGATTTACCAGACGTTCCATCACTTTGCAAACCGCACTGGTAAGAGCAATGGGACGATAGTGGGAGGCATCATGTCCCGTAGTACCCAGTTTGCGGAAAGGGAGAACAATGACAGATTTTCACATCTGGGGGAGAACTCCTTGTGACCAAATAAGACTGAAGAGGTGTAAGAGGACTACAAGGGCCGATTGATGTAAATGTTGTAACATCCGAATATAAATGTCGTCAGGCCCAGCTGCCGATGATCGGCAAGCTGAGAGTGTCGCCTCCAGTTCCTGAAGTGTAAAAGGCACATTATATGGTTCTTCAATGAGAGAAGAAAAGTCCAAGGGTGCTAACTCTCTGGCAGACTTTGAGGAAAGAAACAAGGGGCATAGATGGAGCCCCTGAGAAATATGGACCAGATGATTGCCAATTTCAATGGCAACGTCAAGAGGGTTTGCTATATCAACACTGGCAACCTGCAGAACAGGAGCCAGGTCAGGAGAGCATTTACCACTTAGTTTCCGTACTTTTTTCCAGACTGCACTCATAGAGGAAGCCGAGGTGATGGTGGAAACGTAATCTCGCCAGCAAGTGTGTTTAGCGTCATGGATGACACGGTGAGCAACCGCTCGCTTCTGCTTAAAATCAAGAAATATCTGTGGTTATATTGTACCAGTACCTGCCCCTCGCAGCGCGTTTCAAATGTACTGCCCAGAGTACGTTAAGAGACAACAGTGTCAGGGGCTCAAGATTGCTCAGCTGCCTCCCAGCATACATAAGGGGTATTACCAATATATCCCTGGCTGTCTTCAACAAGGTGCTGGACAGGCACCTAAAGCCAATTCCTGACTAACCAGGCTGTGGTTTGTACATCAGTTTGCAGGCAGCCAGCAGTAACAGCCTGGTTGATCAGGCTCTGATCCACCACAAGGACTGGTCACAGACCTGGCCATGGGGGCATTAACCTCTGAAACTCTTTCCATGTATATTCCAGATATATACATCATCTGAGGCATTTTGCAATTCAGAGCATATGAGCAACTGTGACAGACAGACCCCCCCCCCCCGCTGCCCGTTTACTCTGTCGCAACTGAATAGGTTATAACCTAGGATCCATATTTCATTGTCAAAGTGGTCCTTTATGTAGGTCTTTGTGAAAGCCACAATTATTATAATCAAAAAGAAGTGCTAAACCACAAGGGCTATAGAGCATGTGAAAGCTACAAACATTGCATTCGACTCTCTGAGCAGTCCACTGATGAATGGTATTTTGTTGTTATTGATGGCTTTTGACCTTGTATATTTGCAAAGATAAATGTCATCGTATTGATGTTATGTAGGGGTGCTTTGTTTGCTGGCACAACTATCTGTCTGGAGTGCAGGCTACTGACTGACTGCCTCCACTCCAGAAGTGATCAGAGTTGATGTAATATTTCTGTCATTTCTTGCCAGCTTTTTTTTTTCTTCCTGGCACTTAAAAACCTGTCTCTGGAGTGGTTGTAGCTACCCTGGTTTGTTTCCCATGGTCTGAGTAATTATCTTTTTTTGTCCCCTTTAGATGGTATGCCTGATAGTGTGTTATAGCATTGTCTCTCATGGACTGAAAAGTACCACATTTCAGAGTGAAATTTACAAAAGGAGTTGCATTATCCTTTGGTCATGCTGGCATGAAGGACTGAAACATAGTATAAGGGAAAGGATTGCTTGGTTGTTCATTTCCTATTAGCATGAGAGGAAACCGAGGTAGATTCATCAGTGACAGGCGAGGTCGTTTGGATGGGTTTAGGTGGGCCGTCCCAAGTCGTAAGTACGATCCGAAAATTGATACACGGTGTGGAGAAGCCAGGATCATAGTCAAAGCCGAGGGGATGTCAGAGGTGTCCAAAGGGTCAGTCAAAAACATGGTACAGTAGCAGAGGTGGGTAAGATATATTACCTGAAAAAGATACTGGGTTGGAAGCGAAGTCTGAAGACTGGTCTGAAGTGTGCTAGGGTCTGTAGAGGGTGCCGCAGGAAAGGGTCTGGGAGGGAGACGGTTATAGTTATGGGTCCCCATGGTAAGTTTTCACTTGTTATTAAAAAAAAAAAAAGGGGGGGGGGAGAATGTGTAATAGCAGCTCCTAGGAGGCATGTGTCCTATGTTTCCCCCTCCGTGCCCAAGAGGACCTCAGTGCACCCAGTAGTGCAGATGCAGCATGGAACCCGTGCCATACCCTACCACTCATGCTGGTAAATCGGTAATCCAGGATAGTAACTTCACATCCACCAAGACACCTCGGTGGACAAAAAGAGAGGGGTTCAGAAACCTGCCACAAGGTATATCTCCTTTGGCCACCACCTCCCAGAATCCAACAAGCAGCTTCCAAAGATACATCCATCACCCAAAAGACATCGTAACCAACCTCTGAGATACTGGAGGGGGATTGGGACATTCCAGGATATCCAGATTCCACGACAAACTACGCTACCACGAAGAATCTGAATGGAATGGACATCGATATCCTACCCCTAACTTAGGAGCTAGAACGCATGAGGGAAGGAACCTAAAGGCCAAAAGCAGGGAAGGGGGGACTAGGGGGGTAATTAGGTTCGATTTGAAGAATACTCAAAGGTCCAATTCCTCAGACCAAGAAGGGCAGATTGGTTCCAATTCCTTAGATCAAGAAGCCCTCACCAGCCTCTATATATCTCCCTTGAGGGGTCATTGTGTGAATTAGTCTGCCCTTAGGGAATTATGTAAAGATATTTGAAAGAATATGGGTAAAAACTACCGAAGATGAAGGCTGCATGGCCCACAATCATTATCTCTAAAGACATTATTGGCCAACTGATTAAGGCAGTTCATGCCTGAACCTCCTATTAAGGTTTGATACATGCACATGACCTACATATGTGGGCTGCTCTTTGTCTCTGTAACTACAGCATGAATGTCACAGAATGATCCATGTGACTGCAACCCAAAGTATCTCTGGAGGCTTTAAAAGTCCCACCACCACCATGAATTAACACCTGACAGCTTATACAGTGATAAATAAAAAATAAGGATTAGATGGGTTACAATCGAAAAAATTCTATGAATTCTTTGTATACACAGTATACAATATATATTAAAGGAGAAAATAAGAATTTACAAAATACAATATATAACATATTGTGAATCTAACTGTAATGCCTTATAACAAATTATTTAAAAATTGCATTATATAATTCGGAAACAAGAAAAGCTCAATTACAAACACAAACTTTTACCACAAACAGGTAATTCTCTTTCACACTTTAGTTACATAAGCACATCTTGGCTCCTGTAACTTCCAACAGGTCATTACACAATGAGAAAACTATCTGTACATATGGTACTGTACTATAAATTCTATAGGCAAAGTTACAAAGGTAATAACTCTCCAAAGTGTACCACAGTTAAATGCCAAAGCTAACCAGCATACACCATTATACTTAATATGTGGCAGAGTACTCAGAAACAGCTTAATATATATCATTAACAGAGAAAAATTACAAAAACCAGACAGTTTCTAATATTGTGTAGACTTTGTATATAAATATTTTTCATTTTCTTTCCATTTGTTCTTTTTAAAGGCTTTCTACCAAATTACAAGTAAAATACTCAGCCTTCTGAAGACTGTAGAGCTATACAGATCTTTCACAAATAATCATTAAAAAATGCAAGTATTCAAAACTGTCACTTCTACTCTCAGTTATATTTGTGGAGAATCCTGACACAGGTCTTTATCTTTCAAAGACTCATTTATTTCAGGACTATTAGACTATATAAAGCACAGGCAACCCCCCCCCCCCTCAAAAAAAAAAAAAAACCACAAGCACACGTACACAAACTTGCAACCTGGCTCATTTTGTGAATGCCAGCAGACGAGCCATTTAAAGTTGAACCATCATTTCCCATAGGCACAATGTTATAAATGAGGCTCATGTTCCTGGGAACCAATTATTATATTAACTGGGAAGCTCTAAATCCAAAGGCTCATACAGTACCTGGAAAATGGGAGATAATCAGGTCTGATCCAAGAAAGGGAATGGTAACTCAAATTTCTTGGATCAAAGCCACTCAAGGGTCAAGGCACCCACCTAGAAGGGCTCTGGGAACCAACTGACCACACTTGCCCTAAAATCACTTTCACAGGTTTCGTGCATTTTCTAATACCTTCCACTGCAAATAGTTGGTCAATACATCATCCAGTATAAAGCATTACAGGTGTCACTTTTAAATGTAATGCTCAACATACATTTAACGAAACTGTTGGCAGGCACACACTGAACACAGTCAGGGAATAAGTGGATTGTGAAAGACGACATACTTCTGGAAAGACGGTGATTGGATGAATCATGGTCAATTTTTTTCTTCTTCTTTGGGTCACCCTGCCTTGGCAGGAGACAACTATTGAGTACCATTATAAAAAATGAATGTATGAACATGTGTGCGTGTGCACGCGTGTATGTGTGCATGTTTATTTCAACTTTTTAATATATTAGAGAAGGTACAAGTCACCTGCTACTCATAACAGTTTCAAAGACTATTTTCATACATTTTGTGCATCTACACTACTGTAAAATTATCTCTCTTGCAAATTCTGTGCAACAAGTTATATATGTATTCAGTACTATATATTAATATGATATATTTATGTTTTTAACACTATCCTCAAAATTTTAATAAATATATTTTCCTCTACTTTTTACCCTTAATTATTAAACAAAGCCATGTGTCATAATTACAACAAAATATTTTATGTTAATTTCCATTTCAATATTTATTTTGATTTTTTTTTAGCTATGATCAAATTAGTAGCTCACTTTCTTGAAGTATTGCACCCTATCTTTTAGCTCTAAATACTTTAGAGAAATTTTCAAAATACCAGATTTTCTCTAAAACTATTTACAACCTTGGTAAAATAGCTACAAAATCTGCTTATTTACATTAGAGAACAATTCTTACTAGTGAATGTTTATATGCTTATATAAAGTACCTTAAGCAACAAGAACTGTTCCTCTTGGACTCTCCCTAGCTTATATTTTTATACAGCTGGGGGCCCATACTTATAAATGATATTATTCATTTTGACCACTCAAAGTTACTTATTCTAACACAGCATTAATGTTATTAGAAGCATATTTTAGAATATACAGCAAAGATAATCTTGGTGCAGCAACTGCAACTCATAATAAATGAAACATGCTCTATGGATTTTCAAGACCACAGATGTCTTAATAATTTTAATATTTGTGCCTTTAAAGGCATGGGGAAATACAGCTATGTGAAATTTTGGATCAGTCTATCTCAAACTCAAAACAAGCCATACACTGTTTTCTTAAAATGTAGTCATATATACGTATATATTACTATGTACAGGTGAAATTCTTTATCCTTCGGTGCATGGCACAGTATATTAATTCACATTATAGGGTTAACAAGTAAAAAATGTTTTTGCTCAACAAATTCATCTAGTTAGTGTTTTATGAAGAATACAATTCTTTCACTAAGGTGGACTGCCTTTACAATAGTTTAATGAATTACCAATGCTAATAAAAATGTTCACTTACAATGTGTAAAGCAGTTCATGTGTGGTCATGAGAAAATTTTATATTTATGTTACAAATTTTCCCACTTCATAACAATAAATGATATACACTTCCATTAAGAATTATCTGAAAAAGAACATTCTTCTAGGCATATAAGTGTCTTCAGCTGCCTGATGTGCCTCATCACCATTATTACCCAATCATAGGGCTGGGAGGTACCTGCCAAAAAGGAAAAGTAGGGAAAGGTTACATATGTATTAAAGACATTTGGACTTTTAGGCTTCATTCCACACCTGGGAAACTTATCACTCATGATCTAGTAGTTTCAATGAGCTTTTATTTTTTTTTTTAACACACTGGTCTCCCACTGAGGCAGGACACCCCCTCCTCCCCCCCAAAAAAAATAAATCATCATTCACACTATCACTGTCTTTGCAGAGTACATCACAATCAATAATCACAAATGAAAAATGGCAGTCATTCACACCTATTAAACAACGGCTTTCACTCTGGCTTGATGAAGTGATACTTTTTATGAATTGTTCATATGAAGATTTTTATTTTATACACCTTTTCACAAATACTATGAACAATATATTCATTTTGATAGGTCTATGATTTTCATGTGTATGCGTATTTTTTTTTACAACTGAAACATTGCTGCCCTCCTTCAAAGTTTAGGTACTGTACTTCCCACGTCTAGGACTAAGCCCAGACAACCGGCTCTCACTCCCTTCATCTTTCTCCACTCACTCCAAACCAACATATACCTGCTGGATGCACAAGCCCATAACACTTACAGCCTTCATTGCCCTCTCCCACAAACCTTTTCCCTACATATAAGCATTAGATCTCTAAGATAAATAATTTATATCCTTTCCTTGGGTCTGAAATCAAATTGCAAGAACTTCAAATATTGTATTTTAAGATGTAGGTAATCAGTTGCTCATACATCTAGTTTAAAAGAAAAAGAACTAAAATTTCTAGAAAGTAAGATTAATCAAATTTGTATTTTATCAAGAGAAATGGGCAGAAGTAATTTTCTAGTTGCAGCCCTTCCAACCATGCACGATCTTGGGGTTACCCTGGCCCATGGCTGGACTCCGAAAGTACGAAGACTCTTGAAACTTATCAAAGGTTTTATATATAAAGGTACGGTACCAACAGTTCTCAACACCCTTTAACTATATTTTTTTTTTTTCAACAAATCGGCCGTCTCCCACCAAGGCAGTGTGACCCAAAAAGAAAATGCTTTCATCATCATTCAACACTTTCACCTCACTCATAATCACTGTCTTTGCAGAGGTTCCCGGATACAACAGTTTAGAAGTATATATAAAGATATATAACATATCCCTCCAAACTGCCAATATCCCAAACCCCTCCTTTAAAGTGCAGGCATTGTACTTCCCATTTCCAGCACTCAAGTCCGGCTATATAAAAATAACCGGTTTCCCTGAATCCCTTCACTAAATATTACCTGCTCACACCAACAGCTCGTCAGGTCCCAAAAACCATTCGTCTCCATTCACTCCCATCTAACATGCTTACGCACGTTTCCTGGAAGTCCAAGCTCCTTGCCCACAAAACCTCCTTTACCCCCTCCCTCCAACCTTCTTGAGGATGACCCCTACCCTGCCTTCCTTCCCCTACAGATTTGTGTGTTCTCCATGTCATTCTACTTTGATCCATTCTCTCTAAATGACCAAACCACCTCAACATCCCCTCTTCAGCCCTTTAATACTTTTAGTAATTCCACACCTCCTCCTAATTTCCACACTCCAAATTCTCTGCATAATATTTACACCACACACTGCCCTTAGACAGGACATCTCCACTGCCTCCTCGCTGCAGCATTTACAACCCAAGCTTCACACCCACATAAGTGTTGGTACCACTATACTTTCATACATTCCCTTCTTTGCCTCCATAGATAATGTTTTTTTTGTCTCCACATATACCTCAACGCACCACTCACCTTTTTTCCTTTATCAATTCTATGTTTAATCTCATCCTTCATAAACCCATCTACTGACACGTCAACTCCCAAATATCTGAAAACATTCACTTCTTCCCTACTCCCTCTCTCCAATGTCATATCCAATTTTTCTTCATCTAAATCATTTGATACCCTCATCACCTTACTCTTATCTACATTCACTTTCAACTTTCTACCTTTACACACCCTCCCAAACTTGTCCACTAACCTTTGCAACTTCTCTTTAGAATATCCAATAAGCACAGTATTATCAGCAAAAAGTAACCATGTCAATTCCCATTTTGTGTTTGATTCCCCATAATTTAATCCCACCCCTTTCCCCAACACCCTAGCATTTACTTCTTTTACAACCCCATCTATATTAAACAAGCATGGTGACATTACACATCCCTGTCTAAGACCTACTTTTACTGAGAAGCAATCTCCCTCTCTTCTACACACCCTAACCTGAGCCTCACTATCCTCATAAAAACTCTTTACAGCATTTAGTAACTTACTACCTATTCCATATACTTGCAACATCTGCCACATTGCTCCCCTATCCACTCTATCATTTGCCTTTTCTAAATACATAAATGTAATAAAAACTTCCCTACCTTTATCTAAATACTGTTCACATATATGCTTTAATGGAAACACTTGATCTACACATCACCTATCCACAAAGCTTCCTTGTTCATCCGCAGAGTCTGACTGATATTAGTGACCAAATCATTGTACTATGATAGTGTATGTTATTATGCCATTATTGAACTAATCCCTGTACTATCACCTCCTGGATAGTATTTACTACCTCATTATCCCATGTGTCCCACACAGTTCCTTGTGTGACCCAATTTGTGTTATCTTCCCAGATTTCCCTTTCACAATTTATTACTTGTTAATAATCTACTTACTCTTTAATAATATCTGTATTACCATTTATTCCTACTTAAGCACTGTTATAATTCTTCTATAATCTTACCTAATTTTCCCTTTGCTCCTAAACTACAAATAACAAACTAGTGTATGCTCCTACTACACTACAGTGCAATTCCTTGTACCATCTTCCACTAGCTAGTATCAACTACCTCAAATAATATTTCTTTAGTGATATTAATTGCTCAAACTTTATGTTATAAGGCAAATCCTACTCTCAGATTAATTTCATATCATAGTGTCAATCCATTTAAAGGTTGTTTTTACCACTACTTAATTTAGTCCCTTTTTACATTTCTCCTAAAATAATTCTCGGTATACCAATACATTGTACTGCCCTTTATTCAGTAATTGCTATACTCCTAGTTCTAACAACAATTTAAGAGCAACTTTCAGAAAATTTAATAATTTTTTCCCTCTTGTCCATATAGTCACATTTATTAAAATACTCCAGGTGCTACTGACTACCTCAGGTGCTACTGACTGCCTCAGGTGCTACTGATTTTGTTTTAATACATTCTTGTTTTTATTTTATTTTTTTTTTTTTTTCAACAAGTCGGCCGTCTCCCACCGAGGCAGGGTGACCCAAAAAAGAAAGAAAATCCCCAAAAAGAAAATACTTTCATCATCATTCAACACTTTCACCACACTCGCACATTATCACTGTTTTTGCAGAGGTGCTCAGAATACAACAGTCTAGAAGCATACACATATAAAGATACACAACATATCCCTCCACACTGCCAATATCCCAAACCCCTCCTTTAAAGTGCAGGCATTGTACTTCCCATTTCCAGGACTCAAGTCCGACTATATGAAAATAACCGTTTCCCTGAATCCCTTCACTAAATATTACCCTGCTCACACTCCAACAGATCGTCAGGTCCCAAGTACCATTCGTCTCCATTCACTCCTATCTAACACGCTCATGCACGCTTGCTGGAAGTCCAAGCCCCTTGCCCACAAAACCTCCTTTACCCCCTCTCTCCAACCCTTTCGAGGACGACCCCTACCCCCCTTCCTTTCCCTATAGATTTATATGCTTTCCATGTCATTCTACTTTGATCCATTCTCTCTAAATGACCAAACCACCTCAACAACCCCTCTTCTGCCCTCTGACTAATACTTTTATTAACTCCACACCTTCTCCTAATTTCCACACTCCGAATTTTCTGCATAATATTTACACCACACATTGCCCTTAAACAGGACATCTCCACTGCCTCCAACCGTCTCCTCGCTGCTGCATTTACCACCCAAGCTTCACACCCATATAAGAGTGTTGGTACTACTATACTTTCATACTTTCCCCTTCTTTGCCTCCATAGATAACGTTTTTTGACTCCACATATACCTCAACGCACCACTCACCTTTTTTCCCTCATCAATTCTATGATTAACCTCATCCTTCATAATCCATCCGCCGACACGTCAACTCCCAAGTATCTGAAAACATTCACTTCTTCCATACTCCTCCTCCCCAATTTGATATCCAATTTTTCTTTATCTAAATCATTTGACACCCTCATCACCTTACTCTTTTCTATGTTCACTTTCAACTTTCTACCTTTACACACATTCCCAAACTCATCCACAAACCTTTGCAATTTTTCTTTAGAATCTCCCATAAGCACAGTATCATCAGAAAAAAAGTAACTGTGTCAATTCCCATTTTGAATTTGATTCCCCAAAATTTAATCCCACCCCTCTCCCGAACACCCTAGCATTTACTTCCTTTACAACCCCATCTATAAATATATTAAACAACCATGGTGACATTACACATCCCTGTCTAAGACCTACTTTTACCGGGAAGTAGTCTCCCTCTCTTCTACACACCCTAACCTGAGCCTCACTATCCTCATAAAAACTCTTTACAGCATTTAAAAACTTACCACCTATTCCATATACTTGCAACATCTGCCACATTGCTCCTCTATCCACTCTATCATATGCCTTTTCTAAATCATAAATGCAATAAAAACTTCCCTACCTTTATCTAAATACTGTTCACATATATGCTTCAATGTAAACACTTGATCTACACATCCCCTACCCACTCTGAAACCTCCTTGCTCATCCGCAATCCTACATTCTGTCTTACCTCTAATTCTTTCAATTATAACCCTACCGTACACTTTTCCTGGTATACTCAGTAAGCTTATTCCTCTATAATTTTTACAGTCTCTTTTGTCCCCTTTCCCTTTATATAAAGGGACTATACATGCTCTCTGCCAATCCCTAGGTACCTTCCCCTCTTTCATACATTTATTAAACAAAAGTACCAACCACTCCAACACTA